ATCATTTAGCTTCCATTTATAAGTGAGAACTTGTGGCGTTTGGTTTACTAAAAACTTTGTAGTCCTTTTGGCCTCCCAAAGCTCTGGGATTACAGATGTGAGCCACTGTGCTCGGACATACCATTAATTTGATAGTATCAATTTGATTCAGACTATAAGCAAGTTTAATATATGGTAGAGAATTAGAAAGTACAGTGAAGGCACAGCTAGCCTTAAAATATTTCTGATTGTTCTGTCACTGATAAACTGGTACTACAGCTTCTCTGCCTTTTCAAAAACTCTGGTGGGAAATAGTATAGCATGAAGGTTAGTTTTCTCTACTAAGAGACTTTAAAACTGTTTCTGTAGTTCACTGCTGTATTAATTTCCTCTGTGTGCTGTAATAAATTACCACAGGTTGGCTTAAAACAATAGTATATTTTAGAGAGCCCTAATTAAAGAGTGAGACTCTAGGGGAGAAATCCACATCTTTCAGCTTCTGGTGTATGAAGGATTCCCTTGACTTTGGGCCACATCACTCCAAAATGATTTTGTCTTCATATCACGTTCTCCTCCGTATGCCTAATTTCTCTTATCCCCTCTAAGAATACTTGTGAATGTATTTTCTGACTGATCAGGATAATCTCCTCTCAAAATCCTTAATTTAATCACACCTGCAAAACCTATAAGGTACATAAGTAACAGTGCGAGATTAGGACTTATATAATATATATAAGTAACAGTGCGAGATCAGGACTTGACATCTTTTGGGGACACCATTCAGCCTGCTGCGCCTGCTCTCACTGTACTCAAAGTGTCTCTCTTCAATTGCTTGCTGCTGCTTGAAGCAGCTGCTTAACTTATCCTGAGGAAGCACTGCACATTCTCTTTGGTTGAAGAGAGCAATCATAAGAGTCTTCTAACTTTCAGGATAGCTTTATTCTTAGAAGCCAGCATGATAACAGTTTGAAACCAAAGGATGCTGTTAGTTAATGTGTAGTGTAGTATTTTTCTGTTCTGAGTCTCCTCCCTCCAGGTAGATATGCTTGACAGGGTGACCTAGTCATAAAGTCACATTTTATTGCTGCAGTTTCTGTATCTGGACACCTCCAAATTGTGTCCTGAAGTTATTTTTATTTTGGTCATTCTTGCGTCTTGTCAGGAAAGGAATGCTGCTGCAAGTACATGGAGTCAAAGAGTAGTAGGTAATGGGTGGTGGTGCAGGGGGAAAGGGTTTTTTTTTTTTTCTTTTCATGACAGTCTTCCTACCCAAGATGTTTATTCACTGATCATTCCTCACACATGAAATAGATTTCTAGTTTCCATAAGAAGCATCATTGCCATAAAGTTATAAAGTTTTTCAAAACTGGAAAAGTTATGTATTTACCATTCAGATTTAACAAATATTGATATTTTGAAGAATTTACTTGAGATCACTCTTTTTGAAAGTAACTAAAGGTACAGCTAAAATTCCATTCCCCCTTCTTACTCCTCAGAGGTAATCAGGATCCTGATATTGGTTGCTTCCATGCTTGTTTTTATGTTTTGTATATTTGCACGTATTTGTAAATATTTTCTTTTTTGAATTTAAAAAAAAAAGATTTTGCTTTATTTTTCAACAATTTATATGCTTAGGTATAGTATTATTTTGTATTTTGCTTAGAACTTGCTAAGCTTCTTGAATTTGTTTTTCTGCTAAGGCACTTCTGTGGATTCCACTTAAATGTATAGTAAATCTTTTGGCATTGTTTCACAGATCAGTGATATTTTATTCATTTTTAAATAGTTTTTTTGTCTTTAAAATTGGATAATTTCTATTGCTATATTTTCAGCTTAATGTATCTTCCCTTCATCTCCAGTCTACTAAGTGACATTTAAAAAATTCCAGATACTGCATTTTTGAGTTCTAGAGATTATTTGGTTCTTACGATTCTTCATTCTCTGCTGAAATTTTTCTGCCCATCTATGAGGACTTTATTTTCTTTTACATAACATTTATAGTAGGTGCTATAAAATCTTTTTCTGCTAATTCTAATGTCTGAATAATCTCAGGCACTGGTCTCCATTGATTGCCTTTTCTCTTGGCTATGTTTGTAATAATTTTGAATATTTTTCCTGGATACTGTAAATGATACATTATAGAGACATTATTCCAGATTTTTCCTTCACCCAAACAGAAACTCTGTGGCCATTAAGCAGTAACAGCCTTTCCTACCTCCTCCCAGCCCTTAGTACTCTCTATTCTACATATTTCATTTAAGTGGGATAATATAATATTTGTCTTTCTGTGTTTGGCTGCTTCACTTAGCATAATGTTTTCAAGGTTTATCCATGTCATATGCATCAGAACTTTATTCCATTTTAAGGGTGATAAATATTCCATTGTATGTCTATACCACATTTTGTTTATCTGCTTGCTTCTGGACATCTAAGGTTATTTTCCAAATATTGTCTGTTTTTAATATTGCTGCTGTGAACATGGGTATACAAATATGTGCTTGAGTTCATGCTCTCAGTTATTTTGGTATATACCTATGGTGCATTTAATCATATGGTAATTCTGTTTTAACTTTGAGGAACTGCCAATCTTTTGTGCAGTGCCTATACCATTTTATATTCCCATCATTCATAGCCTTGCCAACACCCCTTATTTTCTGGAGTTTAAAAAATTATTTTAGTAGACATCTTGGTGTGAAGTGGCATATCATTGTAGTTTTCATTTACATTTTTTTAAATGAGAAGTGATTTTGAGCACCTGTACTTGGCCATCTGTATATCTTCTTTGGAGAAATGTCTATTCATGTACTTCACCCATTTTTAAATTGGGTGTCTTTTTTGTTGTGGTTCTTAATATATTCTGGATAGTAAACCCTTATCAGATAGGATTTGCAAATTTTTTCTTATTCCGTAGCTTGTCTTTGCACTATTAAGTGTCCTTTGATGCACAGAAGTTTTAAATTTTGATGCTGTCCAATTTATCAATTTTTGTTGTTGCTGCTTGGACTTTTGGTGTCATATCTAAGAACCTATTGCCAAATCAAAGGACATAGTCATAAAGATTTACCTATTTGTTTTCTTCTAGGATTTTCATGATTTTAGCTATTATATTTGAGTTCATTTTTGTATATGGAGGAAGATGGGGGTCTAACTTCATTTGCATGTGGAAATTCAGTTTGCCCCCCAGCACCATTTGGGGATCAGACTATTTTTTCCTCCATTCAATGGATTTGACATCTTTCTAAAAAATCTATTGGCTATATATGTAAGGATTTTCTTCTAGACTGTCTATTCTATTGGTGTTATGTATCTATACTAATGCCAGTACCATACTGTTTTAAGGTAGCTTTCAAGTTTTAAAATTGGGAGTTGTGAGTCCTCTAGTTTTGTTCTTGTTCAAGATTGTTTTTGCTATTTATTTATTTCCATTTTTGCAAATGAGTAACTTTTACGGAGATTCATCCATGTTGATACATAGACTTTTAGCCTTTTTGTTGTTACTTCTTTATTATTTGAGTAAGTTTTAGTGTATTTGACTTCTTTCCTATTAAAGTACAATTGTTACCAAGTTTTTGCATTAACAATGAACATCTTATGTATGATATTTGTTCAGATGTTTGGTACTTCTCAACCAGGGTGATTTTTGCGTACCAGGAAACCTTTGGCAGTGTTTGGAGACATTTTTGATTATCAAGACTAGGAGAGGTTGTTGCTCCTAAACATCTACAATGCAAGAGCAGACTCCCACCAACCTTCTCCACTGCCAACAAAATAGTACCAAGGTTGAAAAACCCCGCTCTGAAGCATATACTTAGAAGTGGAATTAAGAAAACCTGAAGTGTTTTCATAAGTGGATTTCTGTAAATCATGGAGAAAATATTTTCTCCATAAGTTAAGGTTTGGAATGTTTGGAATTAAAGTTGCTCTGGCAACGTTCCCATTCCAGCAATTACAAGAAATTTAGGTATCTCAAGCCAGATTGAGTAGCAGCATTATCCATAGTTAGCCAGTTCATTCACTTTAACTTTATGAACTAAAATACATTGGTACTTCATCTGTGAGTGACAGTCTATTTTAAAACAGTGGCACTTGTACAGATGGGGATAGTTGAAATATTAGGCTGAATGTACTTAATGAATAAAAAGCAAAACTAGAATATGAAAAAGTTTTTCTTGACACAGATGGTTGTTACATATTGAAAGCTTAAAGGTTTAAGAAGTTTTTCTCCAGTGTATTTTAAACTAAAATTGTACTTGAAGACATAGGAATAAACTTAGACTTACTTGAAGATGTCTTACATGTCACTGTGGAATACTGTGCAGCCATAAAAAGGATGAAGTCATGTCCTTTTACAGCAGCATGGGTGCCATAATTCTAAGCAAATTAACACAGGAACAGAGAAAATGTTAAGGGGGAGCTAAACATTGAGCACACATGGATGTAAATAGGGAAGAATTGACAGGATGGACTACTGGAGGGAGGTATGGGTTGAAAAACTACCATGCTTACTCCCTGGGTGACAGGATCAGTACCCAAAACTTGAGCATCATGTAATTATTAACCATGTAACGAACCTACACATGTACCCCTTGTATTTAGGGGATACATGTGAAGGTTTAAAATGAAAGCTGGGGGGAAAAAGACCCATGGTTCCTGTTTGAGAATCTGTTGGAAGCTATGGCCCTAGAAACGACGTCCATACTTGTGTAACTACAGTTTTGCACATGTTTTGAAGTGGTTTATGCATGCTCCTGAAGCCCATCCATGAACTCACCATGCCCTACTTATTTTCAGGTTAAAATTTTTGCTAAAAATTGATTGAAATTCTTAAAGTGCTAAAAAATAGATACACATAAAATTATCAATGAATTGTATCTTCACAACTATATTTGTACCTTCCTAACCAAATGCTTCTGCATTTAGTGATGAGGAAAAATAGGTGACTTGGAATTAGAATTCAAGTCTTCTAATGTTAAATACTAGTTAAACTTTATGTCTATAACCTTCATTCTTTCTCTTTTTAGGTGTATGCAACAGTGTTATTGCAACAAGCTAATGAAAACAGGCAAAATTCAACTGGAAAAGCATGTTTTGGCATCTTCCTCCCAGAAGAAAAACTTAATGACTTTCGTGATGAACAAATTGGACAGTTGCAGGAGCTGATGCAAGAAGCCACGAAACCCAATTGGTAATTTAGTGATTCTGAGTCTGCGGAACCAAAATTGTAGTCTACATCAAAGCTTAACAAGACATGCAAGAATTTAGAACCCTTACTTTAATTATCACTGGTTTTTGAAATATTCAAGCTTTGAAAATGCCTGTTACTAATGAAATATTTTATTTTTGGATATTATAAATGTAATATATGGATCAAGATCACTAGTGACAATTGAAAAAACGTCATTGGAATAATAGCACTTGATGTATGAAATTCGATTTTACAACTAAATAGGAAAGAATGGATCAAAATAGACAAGTTTCTAGAATTTTGCTGAAAAAATTTTAAAATGCTATTCTCATCCAAGAATATTAGCCTTCTGGCTTTTCTTTAGCTTCATCAAAGAAGTATGTTGTGATAATGATAGATGTAGAATTCTAGCAAGGTTATTTTTTAAATACATTCATTCTGAACATCTCTTCTCCCTGCATCACTGTTCATTCACAATAAAAGGTTAGGGAGAAACTTTAAAATTCACTTACTATCAATCATTGGTATAACAGACTATACAAAGTATAATATTCCTAGAGTGTTCATTTATAATAACCCCTGACATAATGTGTAGCTACCTTGAAACTTTTTTTTATTACCTAATAGTTGAGGAGATTACAAATCAACTTATTAAATATAAAAAATGGTAACTCCCTCTAAAAAATAAGATGAATTTAAAAAATATGCTAAATGACTTATATCTTTAGTTATTGAAAGCTGACTCCCAGTGTGATACTATTAGGCGGTAGAGCCTTTAGGAGGTGATTGTCATATGGGATTAGTACCCTTATAAAAGAAGCTCCAGAGAGATCTCTTGCCCCTTCTACCATATGAGGATACAGTGAGAAGATGTTGAAGCAGAAAGTGGCCCCTCATCAGACACTGAATCTGCTGGTGCCCTGATCTTGGACTTTGCAGCCTCCAAAACTAGGAGAAACAGATTTATATTTATAAGCCACTCAGACTGTGGTAATTTGTTATTGCATCCCAAACAGATTAAGACAGTTTTGGAGGCCTACTCCAAGATTCGGAAATGACTATTCTTTAAGATGTACTTGCAATTTATATCATCTCTTTAGAAACTGATTTATGTTTTCTCTGTATATAGCGGGAAGGGCCCCCTTAAGTCCATGCTTTCTTCCTTTTTTTGAGTCAATCTGTCCATTGATCTGTTGGTCTTTTTCAATGAGAAAGATAGTCAATCCATAATTAATCTGTCTATAACAGGATACAACAATGGATAAGATAAAGCTCCTGCCCTCAAGAAGTTTAAAATCTAGTTGTACATTCAGGAGCCTTCTTTCATCCTGAACAAATACATCTGCAAACTCTTTACAGCATTCCTTAAGGAATCACCACACTGTCTTCCACAATGGTTGAACTAATTTACATTCCCACCAACAGTGTAAAGTGTTCCTATTTCTCTACATCCTCTCCAGCATCTGTTGTCTCTAGATTTTTAAATGATTGCCATTCGAACTGGTGTGAGATGATATCTCAATGTAGTTCCAATTTTATTAAAATGACCTTTTATCAACCCAAAGCAGTTTATAGATTCAATGCTATTCCTATTAAGCTAACATGACATTCTTCACAGAACTAGAAAACTATTTTAAAATTAATACAGAACCAAAAAGCCTAAATAGCCAAGGCACTCCTATGCAAAAAGAACAAAGCCGGAGGAATCACAGTACGTGACTTATACTACAGGGCTACAGTAAGCAAAACAGCATGGTACTGGTACAAAAACAGACACATAGACCAGGGGAACAGAATAGAGAGCCTGGAATTAAGCTATACAGTTACAACCATCTGATCTCCCACAAAGGTGACAGAAGCAAGCAATGGAGAAAGGACTTCCTCTTAATAAGTGGTGCTCAGATAACTAGCTAGCCATATGCAGAAGATTGAAACTGGACTCCTTCTTTATACCATGTACAAAAATAAATTCAAGATGGATTAAAGACTTAAATGTAAAACCCAAAACTATAAAAGGCCCGTAAAACAACCTAGTCAGTATTATTCACAACATAGGCACAGACAAATATTTCGTGATGAAGATGCCAAGAACAATTACAACAAAAGCAAAAATTTACAAATGGGATCTAATTCCAACTAAAGAGCTACCCTGAATAAACAGGAAGTCTACAGAATGGGAGAAAGTATTTGCAAACTATGTATTTGACAAAGTTCTATTGTCCACCATCTGTAAGGAGAATACAACCTCATTAAAATGTGGGCAAAAGACATGAACAGACACTCTTCAAAAGAAGACATACTTGCGGCCAACAAGCACATAAGAAAAGCTTAACATCACAGATCATTGGAGAAATGCAAATCAACACCACAATGAGATACTATCTCACACCAGTCAGAAGGGCTACTATTAAAAAGTCCAAAAATAACAGATGCTGGTGAGGTCTTGGAGAAAAAGAAATGCTTATACGCTGTTGGTGGAAAATTTTTAAAAATGTGGTATATATACAACATGGAATACTATGCAGCCATAAAAGAGTGAAATCATGTTCTTTGCAGAAATGTTGATGGAGCTGGAGGCCATTATCCTTAGCAAACTAATGCACAAACAGAAAACCAAATGCCACATGTTCTCATTTATAAGTGAGAGCTAAGTGATGACAACACATGGACACATAGAGGGGAACAACAGACACAGACCCTGAGGCCTGTTGGAGGGTGGGAAGTGGGAGGAGGGAGAGGGAGCAGGAAAAACAACTAATGGGTACTAGACTTAATACCTTACAAAATAGTCTGTACAACAAACCCCTATGACACAAGTTTACTTGTGTAACCTGCACATATATCTCTGAAATTTAAATTTTTTTTAAATTAAAAAAGGATGTGCTTTGTGTAATGAGAGGAAATAAAAGACCAAGAAGATTGTAAAAATGGATGACCCTGAAGGAGCTTTTATTATATTGAATAATGATGTTTTGTGGGGTTAAAAATGAGATATTTTAAAAACATACAAGAATAATGATGTGTGTGTGGTGGGGGGGTGGGTAATGACTGAGGGAATAGCTCAAAGTTTAGATGGTTTGAGAAGTGAATACAATGTACTGATTAACAATTGTAAATATAGATGTGATTTCTAGTGTAACCACTACAAATGATTGTTACATTGAAATGAATGTATAACTTCAAAGCTAGTAGAGTAGAAAAATGAAATAGGAAAATTACAAAATAGAAAAACAAAATGGAATAAGTAGAACAAAATGAGACAATACTAACAGACATAACTAAAATATGTCAGTAATTACATTAAATGTAAATAGACTGAGTTATCCAGTTAAAGGCAGATTGTTAACTGATTAAAAAAATGAAACCAATTATATACTGTTATAAAAGACAACACCTAAACCATAAAATACAAGCAACTGGAAAGTAAGGTGATGGGTAAAGTTATACAAACCAAAAGGAAGCTGATGTGTATATATTAGTATTGGAAAAAAGAAATTGCTAGGGAAAAGAGTCATAATGAAAAGTTAACTTCACTAGGAAGATAATTCAAAATTGGCATTACCAGCCAGGCTCAGTGGCTCAAGCATGTAGTCCCAGCCTGGGTGACAGAGCAAGACTCTTGTAGAGACATAGATAAATCTAGAAACCATCATTCTCAGCAAACTGACAAGAATAGAAAACCAAACACCATGTTTTCACTTCTAGGCAGGTGACGAACAATGAGAACACGTGGGCACAGGGAAGGGAATAACACTCATTGGGCTAGGTGGGGAGGGTGGAAGGGAGAGTAGGAGAGGGCCAGCAGAGAGGATGGGGAGGGATGACACCAGGAGGAATGCCTGATGTAGGCAATGGGGCGGGGGATAGGGAGGATGATGGAGATGGAGACAGCAAACCACCATGGCATGTATGTACCTGTGGAACAATCCTGCAGAATGCAGGATGTGCACATGTACCCTAGAGCCCAAAGTACAATAACAAAAAAAAAATTGGCATTACCTGGTAAGTAAATGATTGAGCAACCCCTTATTTGAGGATGTTAAGACAATTCAAGGTAACCCATGAGTCAAAGAAATGCTTATCTAAACTAGAAGTGGAACTGGACAGTGGTGAAAATACTTAAAATATATGCATTGCAGCTAAAATAGAACTTGGAAGAAATTGATAGATTTAAATGTGTTTAGCAGAAAGAAAGATGTATTAAGGAAAGATACATATATCTTAAGTTATTATAGAAAACGCAAAATAAGCTGAAAGAAAATGGAAGCCAGCCAGGTGTGGTGGCTCACGCCTGTAATCCCAACACTTTGGGAGGTTGAGGTGGGTGGATCACGAAGTTAGGAGCTCAAGACCAGCCCGACCAATATGGTGAAACGCCATCTCTACTAAAAATACAAAAATTAGCCGGGCGTGATGGTATGCACCTGTAGTCTCTGCTACTCGGGAAGCTGAGGCAGGAGAATCGCTGAACCCGGGAGGCGCAAATTGCAGTGAGCTGAGATCGCACCACTGCACTCCAGCCTAGGTGACAGAGTGAGACTCAAATGGAAATAAAGATTAGAGCAGAAATTTCTTTTTAAGGTTTTTTTTTTTTTTTTTTTTTTTTTTTTTTTTTTTTTTTTAAGATTCATAACAGTGATAAAATTCTGGCAAAGTTAAGAAAAAAAGGCACACATATCCTGTATCAAGAATGAAGAGGATATAAATATTTCTGTTATGATGTTAAATATATTATTATGAATAACTTAAAACGAGTAAATTTGTAACATGTAGAAAAAATTGAATTTTAATAAGAATATAGCTTACCAAAATATACAAAATAGTTCTATAGCCATCACAATAATTGAATCATAATTTATAATATTCCCAGAAAGAAAATTCCATCCTAAACAACTTACTTGGTGAGTACTAACAAGTATTCAAAAACTAATTTCAAACTTAAGCCTTTTCAGAAAAAGAGTGATACTTCTTAACTATATGAGCCCAGCAAATACCTGAAAGCAAATGAAGTATGAGAAAGGAAAATTACTGGCCAATTTCACTTAGGAACATAGATTCAAAATTCTAAACTAAGCATTAGCAAGACAAATTTGGCAAACGATAATTCACTAGGAACTAGTTGGGTTTATGCCAGGAATACAAAGTTGTTTTTACATTAAAAAAAACCCAATTACTATGATCAACCACATAAAGGTGATTTAATTATGATCATCTCAGATGGGGAAAAAGCATTTGCTAAGCATTCAGTATCCATTCATGATAAAAATGCTTTTAACAAACCAGGTATAAAGGGCACTTTATCAGTGAAAGGGTTTATACTGAACAGCAGCAGCAAACATGATGAATCATTGAAAGCTTTGTCTTTAAGACTGGGAAAAAGACAGGATATTTGTGATTTCTTCTACTGGATTCAAAACTGATAGTCTCAGATAATATAATTGTATATGTAGAGAATCTAGAAGATTCCACAAATTTCCACAAATTCAGATGAATAAGAGAAATGCGAAAATTGCTATCAATTGAATTCCTGTGTAGCCTGAGAATTTATA